GGGGGGTGGTAGAATCAGGACAAGAGTTATGGCTAGGGATGTATTAGGGCTATGGATAGGGTTAGGGTTAAACCAAGGGTTAGAATGAATCCTAGAGTTAGAGAGAGTTTTATGACTAGGGTTTAGGTTAAACTTAGGGTTAGAACAAGGCTTGGGACTAGAGTTAGGGCTAGGTTTATGGTTAGATGAAGTGTTAAAGATAGGGCTATGACCGGGGGTTAAGGTTAAACTTAGGGTTAGAACACGGGCTTGGGACTAGGGTTAGGGTTAGGTTTATTCAAAAGGATATTTTATTGAACGATCAGTCATTGAAAGAGCCAACGCGTTTCGGGGTTTCAACCCCCCCTGCCTTCAACAGGGCTTCAGTGTAATGTGACTTCAGCAATGCCGGAAATATTTATAGATCTCGCATGAGATATATCAGCAGGACGTCCACGATGAAACTTCTCTGGCATTGCCACAGTCACACCACTGATGAAGCGGGAGTGTGTGAACCCCGAAATGTGTCGGCTCTTTAATATCACTGGTTGTTCCCCGGTGCCTGAAATAGGTTACACTAACAACCTGCAATACAGCTTCATTGTCCGAACAACTTTCCATTCTGTAAAGTATTTAGTGAAAGACTAAACTGAAGGGACAGAAAGCCATCAATCTCATCCAGAACAGATACATCTCTGCCGGTTTATATAATATTCATGATAACTCCGCCCACACCGTCCGTCCTCCGCTGATCACAGTCTCTGCTCTGGTTGCAGATGCCGGGAGGATCCTGAGATGATGAAAGTTCTAATCTTCTACAATAAGAAGCGGAGGTGGCCGGAAACCTTCCTGGAGCGCTGGAGGCACATGAGGGAGCTGACCCTGCCACCCATCCGGAACCCTACTACAGAGGGGCGTACGGAGGTCAGGGGGCCCCTGCTGATCCCCAGCTTTTCAATCAAGAAATATAATGGGCGCCATCTGTTCTCTGCCTCTGGCTTCGTTGCTTCCTGACACGGAACAAGCATGTAGCCAGTGAAGCCTGAACTTAGGCTCTTAATTCTGGGTCTGAGTCAATGACTTAAAAACTAAAATGTATTAAAGAGAATCGTGATGACAGGCCGGCACTCTGTGCCCATTATCCCTGTGCTGAGTTCCCGGGTCTGTACACCTGCTGTGCCCATTATGAGGGGCTCCCACCATCCCTGTGCTGAGTTCCCGGGTCTGTACACCTGCTGTGCTCATTATGAGGGGCTCCATGGAGATGCTCCCACACAGGACAGGTCTCTGAGGTCTTGCATCCACAGCAGTGGCGTAGCGAGGGGGGCCGCAGGGGCGTACTGACCATTCGACCGCGGCCGTCAGGGGGGCCCGTCACCGCTGGTCCTGGCCAGTCCACCTGCATCAGATGCGGCTCTCTAATCAAGCTGCAAGGGGGGCCTCAGGAGGCCCCAGCGGGCGGCCCTCAAACATGCCTGATTAGAGGGCCACGTCTGCCTGATCCAGCCAGCCCTGATCACTTGGTGTCCTCTATAGCCAGTTGCCATTCTACATTGCTGTATAGTGTATAGCTGGGATTTGTAGTCCTCTATAGCTGGCGGTATTATTCTGCATTGCTGTATAATGTATTGCTGGGAGTTGTAGTCCTCTATAGCTGGAGCCATTCTACATTGCTGTATAGTGCATAGCTGGGATTTGTAGTCCTCTATAGCTGGAGCCATTCTGCATTGCTGTATAATGTATTGAATGTATTGTATTAAATTATCCTTCGAACCAAAGGGACAGCAGTATGGATGAGGTGGTGATATAATGGTTGTGGGGGGTGCACAAAATTTTGTTCTGCCCCGGGCGCCCGCAACTCTGGTTACGTCACTGACCCGCAGTACATCTTCTGGGCTGAGTGATGCTGATTGTCATTCAACCTGGAAGACGGAGGACATCTTGTGGCAGAGAAGAAGTACTGCGGGGGGCGAAGCTCCAAATGGAAGATGAGCTTTGCGGTTTGATAATGTTACTTTTGCAGTCGGATATTTGTGACGTCTGCCGATGATCACTCCTCAGGCCCGGCGCTACTGCAAGGCAAGTCAGGAGGCCGCCTGAGGGCGCTGCAGGGTGAGGGCGGAAAAAACAGGGCATTTTGACAAGTACTTGTACTTGTCAAAATGCCCCGATGTTTGCGCTATGCTTTTTTTTTTTTTTCTTCACTTACCTTCGGTGCGGATCCGTCACTTTCTGCTTGAGGGAAAGTCATCTTTCATGTCATAAAATATGGAGATTTTGCTTACAGTGGATACAAAATAAAAACTTAAAGTTCATATTTCAGGTATCGATTACTTCCTCCTCTCCGCTCTGTCACTTGACTTCTTGTCCTTTAATATCCTAATGGAGACTTCAATGAACATTCATTGTCTGTGATCGATGGGAACATTTCAGATATGGCGACCAATGACATCGCTGATCTCCCAATGCGGCCAATAGCACATTCCACGTGAATTGTTGATAGCTGATTTACTCCAAAAGTTCATCGGTGCTTTAAAGAGAACCAGAGGATGAACATGACAGCCAGGGAACTAGCATTTGAGGAAGCAGAGGTCAGCGATAAGCCACCAGATTTCCTGAACGCAGGTTTCCTCAGCCCTAAATTCACCAGCTGCAGCATTCCAGGGAAAGATTGGGGTGGCAGTTTGTATGGAGTGTAGCAGGGGGTCTTGTAGAGAGCCAGGAGAGGTCCTGTCCGGGGTTTATGTGTCGCCCGGATTCCTCTCTTACACCTTCCGGAACCTCTAGTCAGCCCCCATGTTTTACACCTTGCCTCAATGGCAATTTGGTGCAGGTGAGGCAAACACAGTGCTCTGGAGCCTGGGGAGCAGACAGTCTGCTGGAGCAAACGGTTGGTTATTGTGGTTCTCTGAGGCCTGACAACCAATAGGTTTGTGCAGATTGATGTCAGGACTATCCAAGGTGTAGTCAGAGCCGGGACACGGCGAGGATTTTGTTTTTTGCATTATAGACTTCACTTGAGCACTGCACATAGCCTGTGTACTCCACCAATAAACGCACCACTGCGTGAAGCGAGGTCACTGGTCTGGTCTCTCATCCTCTCCAGAAGCGTGGACTGGGGATGAAGAACAGATTCTGCAGTAATTATAAGGTGGGCTATCACCTGGGAAGGCTCTTTCCTATTGGCCGGGATCTTTGTCGCAGATGGTGGCTCATATTTTTTTCCATGGATGGTTATTAAACCATTTGAGCCCCAGGTGCCATTTTGAAAGGCACTGGGGACAGCGGCTCTGGAGGTTCCAGCGAGGGGGTCAGCTTGGAGCCCACACACTTCATATGGAGGCTCAGGCGGAGAAGTTGCAGCCCTGTCCATCCTCTCCCTGAAATAATCGATCACTGCTGCAGTCATGTTTTGCTCGCTTATGGAAGGGTCTGGACCAGGTCTCCAGCGACCAGATTTAGGGCCGGTGCACACCTAGGCGACCCCTCACCGCACGGTGATCGTGCGCGATTCCGTGCGGATTGCCGCGCGGTCAGGAGTTGCCTAGGTGTGCACTGATCATGCTGTAGGTGCCATCATTTTCTAATGGCACCCCAGTCGCCCCGGGCGGATCACGCGGGTTCCGAACATGAAACAGCCGCGCGTCATGTATCTCAGAAAAAAAAAAAGTACCATTTTTCTGCGATTGCAGTGCGGACGTCACCCCATTGAAATCAATGGGGCCGCGCAGCAATCGCTGCCTGCATTGTGCAGGACTGCGTGACACCCGGATCGCGTAGGTCTGCACGGGGCCTCAAACCCCCCCCATGAAAAAAGTGTTACACAAAGGGTGTAAAAACACAAATATGTACATATTGCATCTGGAGTAAGTACAGGAAATACATTATTGTAATTTTTCACTATTTCTGCCAAAAAAACCTCTAGAAAATTAAAATATATGAATACAAATCTGCAATTAAAGCCCTATCGGTCCCACCAGAAAAGTGAGGGTAGACTACAAACATACGCTAAAAGGTATACTGTGGACAAACAAGACATTTTGGAAACAAAAAAGAAACGCTCTGGAACTCGGGAGGATATAGCGAGGAAAGTCCCGGGACTCAAGGGGTTAATAACCGCCCTGCAGACCAGGAAAAGCTTATCGGTTGTCACTGCAAACTTTAGACTTCAGTTCTTTTTCTGCTCTTGTTCTCCATTGATCTGTTGGGTTGGTCAGGTTGTATTTGATCAGGGGGTGTGTCTGGCCTGCCCTGGAGCCAATAGCGACGCTGCGATATATCTAATAATACCCTAATCTCACATTAAATAACAGAAGAGCTGACTGACCCGGGACAACCTGAAGAGAATTCCTCCGAGAAGATGAAGGTCTGGGGTCTCCTCTGCTTGTCCTCATTGGCCCTTCTCAGGACAGGTGAGATCTGGATATCTAGAATCATTTTGGGGGTTCCTTTGTTCTTGTTTTCAGAAATGTTTAGAAGTTTCCGAATCTTGTTACAATGCCCGCTGTGCTTCATGCAATGAATATTGGGGTTGGTGGGGCTTCAACTCCACCAACACAGCCGCCCCAGAAACTTGTGATCCGGATCCAGAACTGATTCCGAGCAGCTCGGTTCATCTACAAACACCACATGATTACAAAGACAAGTACTTTCAGTGTTTTCAGCTTTGCAGGGAATAATAATTTTGTACAGGTGCCCCAGGAACACTCTGCGGGTTCTCTTGTGGAGGTCTGCCCTGGGCAGCCACGCTGCATGCTTGCATAAAGGTCTAGGTCTTATTTTCGGGGTAGGTCTTATATTACAGGAACCTTGAAAAATAGTGCTAGGTCTTACTTTCGGGGTAGGTCTTATTTTTGAGGAAACAGGGTAGTATGAATTTTGAGGGGGGAGGGGGGGGGAGGAGGCATGGCGTGTCCCTCCAAAATCCTTCTCTTATCGAGCCATATATAAACAGACGCACGTTGAACCGGGTGGACATTTGTTTTCAGGGCGTAACTAGAAATCACAGGGCCCCATAGCAAAATTTTGTAAGGGGCCCTGTGATTTCTATTTATGCACCTTGCAGAGCCCACCTGAGATTGTGACCCTGTAGAGCCCACCACAGACTCTCTCAGGTGGGCCTGCAGGGTCTCAGGTGGGCTGGTTCAAACTGTTTCACACCTCTTACCTATCGGACCCGATCCGCTGTCGGCCTTCTCCACTGGCGGACCCCGCATCCTCATCGGTCGCTGGAGGGTCCCGACTCCTCCACAGTCGCCGGGCCTGGCCTCTTCCTCCTCCTCCATGGCCACTGGGCCCCACCTCCTCCTTTGCTGCCGGCGCCGGGTCCCGGCCTCCTCCACCGCAAGCTGCTGGCTCTCACAGACTCAGCAGCGACTGTGGGCAGGAACGCGCCGTTGCACAGAGACAGCCGCGCATTCCTCCTCACAGCCGCCAGTGACAGCCAGCAGTCTGAGATGCCATAGCGGCCCGCACGGCATCAGGGGTACCCCTTTCTTCCTAATCCTGGCCGGGCCCCCCCGTGCCCCCATAGTGGACGCCTGGGTCGCTATGGCGATAGTTCTGCCACTGTTTGTCTTTATTCAACCTCACCTACTATTTTACTATGTTATCCAAGCATGCAACCTGGCTGGCCAACAAAGGGTAACCCCCTGCTGAACCATACCAGGCCACATGACCTCAATATCGGGAGGGTAGCTTGGCAGGGGGGCTGCAAAGCAACAATCAAACCCCCCTCCCAGGTTGGAATGACACTTTGTCCCAATGTTGATGTGGACAAGGGCCTCCTCCCCATATCCCTGGCCCGGTGGGTGTGCGGGTCAGTTGGTGGGTCTTATTGGAATCTGGAAGCCCCCTTTAGAGTAACGGAACCCCTAGCTACCTGGCCCTCCCCCTGTGTGAATGAGTACAGAGTGCGTAGTACATTCACAAAAAATTTAAATGGTAAATAAAAACATAGCGCATGTAAAATGTCTCTTATTGGAGAAAATCCCTCAGAAATAAAAGCATTCATTATGATGAGTGAAGCAGCGATGACTCGCGCCATAACGATCCTCTCCCGCCACTATTCCCCTTTACAAATGACAGTGCTCTGACGCTGCTGGAATGTCAATACAACGGTGGGACACCTGGGTGATGTCATTGACCATATATATTCATGACTATATTTCATCAATGATGTCACAATGTGAAACAAGCCAGCAGGAAGTTGTCACTTAATGGCCGTACTGACCCCACCCCTACGTGAATGACCTCCGGGTGCAGCAGTTGGAGGTTTGGGCAGGCGGCAAAACTGGTCACTGAACTGGGATCAAGCTGGGATTGGGTTGAACTCATGGTTGACCTAAACCTGAAGGTCATCCATCCCTACTGTCACTCATGGAGGTTCAGCATCACATGTGGACCTTACTCAGGGTGGTCTGTATACAAACACAGCCTGCCTTGGAACACTCTCTCCTCCAGACTGACGCCCAACCATTACACATTTTGATATTTGCATGGCTCCTCGCATGAAGCCCCCACTCCAATGTCAACCTCCCTTCACGGCAGCAGAGAATGACCCCTGAATGGGGCCACGCACATTCTCCTGCAGTCAGCTGCACACATTGCAGGAAGTTCCCCAGTGAAAGTCTCCTGTGTCATATTTTAGGTGGAGGACTGGAAATGGCCATCGGGATGGACGGTGTGTAATCTCTCCGTGTTTTTCCCTGGTTTCAGGCGGCGCGGACGAAAGGCCTTTGGTGGACACGAAGTACGGGAAGCTCCGGGGGGTCACCGAGTCAGTTAAGGAAACTCTGAAAACTGCAGATGCTTTCTATGGGATCCCCTTCGCCAAGCCTCCAGTTGGCTCTTTGAGATTTGCAAATCCGGAATCAATCGAGCCCTGGAATTCCGTCCGAGACGCCTCCCAATATCCCCCCCTGTAAGTGTCGGGAATCTGTGATTAATTGTGTGTTCTGCTCCACGCTCTAGAACAGCCATTCTCAACCAGGGCTCCGTGGCACCCTATGGGTTCTTTCAGAGGTTGCTGGGGGTTTCCTGACCACCAATGTAAGGAGTAGTCTTCCCACTGACCCCCAATGTAAGGGGACATTCTTCCCACTGACCCCGCCCCCCCAATGTAAGGGGACATTCTTCCCACTGACTACGGCG